TTTCTCATCCTCATTAACTTTAAGTTTTAACCGTTAAAAGTCAATTCAAATTCTACATAAATTTTGCTATTTTCTATTTCTAATTTAGGTACACATGCCATTTGGCTTAGTATTTTTTTATGCAAACTCATTTATTATGGAAAACGAAAAATTCAAATTCAAATCTACCTAGATTTGAAATTTAGTTTTCACATGTTTCTTAAATATTATGTATTTTAATAGAATATAGGTTTTTATTAATATACATTGAAAAATAATATACATAGAAATTTATATACCATACAAATACGTGGGAGACGGCAAAAATAAACAAATGTACCCAAATAGCCGAGACTTCAGCAGCTTCAGCAGCTGCCGAGAGTTATTGAAATCAAATATTTTGTTTCGAATCGACGTCCATAAAACACGGGATGATGATTCGGTGGCAGAGCAGAGAAGCAATAACATCGCACCGATGAAATTTGAAAGGGTTGTAAAATTTTACGAGCCGCCAATGTCTCTTGTGTGAAATTTAATTAGGAAGGTGTCGGGACATTCGTGATGTGGTATTTCAATAACGTCCTGCCGCGTCCCCCGCAGCGATTTACGACTCTTAAAGCTACGTGTAATAGAGCACAAAGCACCGCTAAATGTTTATCGAATAATTAAACTCCTATATATCATAGTTGTAGTGTCGGGCAATGGGGTTGTGAGGTTATGGAACCTTTAATGGAAGTCCATTGACGCATTAAGTCGCCTGAACGGCCACAGAAATTAATAAAATTTATGAACGCCTAAAAGTTTTAAGCGTTAGTAATGAATCTTGTGTATGCCATACACCCTACGTTCTACCGGAGACGTTTATCGAAAGTATTATAATTCCACTTTATGCTGGTCTTCTGTGAGGTCGTGGTACTTACCCGGACGAGCCTGCCCATTCGTGCAACCGAGGCTGCTGCGGGGCCCTGCCACCTGTGCAGTTTATTGAACTTGCGCAGGCGACCGGTGCAAGATTGAAAATCAATTCTTTCTAGTGGCACCTGTGCAGGCAAAATTGCACAGGTGACCTCTCCGGTAGACCGTAGCGTGTATGGCGTATGTTACTCTTGGTTGTGCAATCCAAGTAAGTGATGTTCTTTTTTGTTTTGGTATACAATATATCATCGTTTATGTTATTAGTATCTTGCCTGAGATCCTTTTCACCTACATAATAAAGATTGCAACGTATCCATAGAATAGATACGCTGGGTCTGAGCAAAGAAGTGCGTATAAAACAGATTAACATACTATTCTTTCAGGAGGATTGCTTAAATAAGCATAATTTTATCTTTAACAGAAATCGTCAAAATCTTGCCATCTAGCGAGTAAGAACTGCTTCTGGCTCCCACCGTATTATCTATCTACGAATTTAGTACATTAATAAGTCAAGTATGCAAAAAATCTACATCTAACGATTGCTCCGATCCGAAACAGGCTTTAAGTAGTACACCACAACAATTATAATATATTTTTTGCGTAGCCAGAGTGAGTCGCTAATATTTTATATCTGTCAGCTCGATTATAAAATATGACTGTTCCTGAGCTGACGTGAGCTACACGGGTAAACTTTGGAAAATTATTACGAAAATCGTTAAAGAATAAAGTCCGTCATACGACGATTTCTATCGCTCGAACGTTATTTCTTCCGTCAATCGCACGACAGACGCGATATTAACGCAGGAGCTGTCACACACAATGTACTCCGAAACTATTTACTTTCGCGATCGGGAACGCGAGATGATTGAACCCGATACGACTAGTAACGATTTTTCACGCTGCACTGTAACGTATATAAAAGGGAACTGAAATGAGATTTCGCATCTATCAGCAGAGATTATTCGCTTTTGAAACCCACTCTTGCGTCTTTTTTACCCTAAAATATTTATATTTTCCCGTCTTCAAGAGCAAGAGGATAAAAAAAGTATTATGTATTGTAAAATGTGTTAAAATCGAATATGAAAGTAATTTTATTATTTTTTTATAGAATATATGTGTACTTATTTTTATGTTTCTAATTATTCGTAAATATTGGCATATGTTTTAATGAAGTAGTACAAAAAATCTGCTTTTTAATTATAAAATACTTATGGCTTTATATTACATTCTTACTAACTTACTATATTCTTACTAAAGATTTCGTTGTAAGCGAAAGATTACACAAATTTTTATGTCAAATTCAAACATCGATAATATTCATACACAATCCAACAACAATGTTCAAGAATAATGTCCTTCTAGAAATTTCGTTTCGTGCACGGTCCAAAATTGAAAATGTATGAATTTGTATGAATGAAAATGGTAGCAATTAAAACAATGAAAATGTATATAATAAGGATGGAGTTACAGCGAAACTGTTTTCAAAAGACCCCGTGAATGTATGATACCGAGGCGCCAATTCAATTTGCGGTTCTTAGAATTTACGAGTCCCGTCTAACTAGCGACCGCGCTTTTAAATAAAGACTGTTAAACTTAAGTAGCAAACTAACAACTTCTGCTCCTGAAACTTAATGTACAGAGAACTGATGTTGGATACATATCTTACTTTTGCAGTCTGTTAAATTTAGAGATGCACTATAGGTAAAAGAAAAGGTACACGATTTATAAAAGTACAGTATTTGATTTGATTACTTGCGATAATAACAATGGCATATTAGTATTATATATTGATATTTTAATGTTGTTATTACAGATTTTTTTACAAATTCGTGTAAAGTTTGCACAAATCAGAAAAAACAGAAACTCCTCACTGCGAAGTTTCGAAAGCTGCGACCAAATTGTTAAGCTATTAACAACTTACACGTTTTTTTTTTTTGTTTAACCGTGCCACACTGAAGATGATGAAGAATGTACAGGCTTGTCCGGGGAAATACCATGGCTTCACAGAAGACCAGTTTCGTGAGTGGAATGACCAGAGCCAATTCTATAAAAAAAGGGACTGCAACCCTTCTAGTACTGTTATGTAAGAAATCCACATTAATCAGTTAACACCAGGTTAACCGTGCAATATTTTCTACCGTCTTCAAAAAAATAATTAAAAAAATATGAAAAATAACTAAAACGGACCAATTAATTTTGTGGCTCAAATGTTATTCAAATTAAATATACGACATACGCAAAACAGTACTCGAAGTATACCTATATTTATTAAGGAGAAACTTTAATATTTCCCCGAGTAATTGTGCAGGGGTAGTCTATGAAAATTAATATGTAAGGAGTAGACCCCGCTAAATGTGGGCAGTATTAAAACGGGGTACTAATAGGGGAGGAGAGGAGAGCGGCAGTCCTTGGAACCGCAGACTTTATGTCCTCAGACCGGTCTAGAATTATTAATTACCTGAATGGAGATTGCATTCCTGCTCTAGCGGTTTCTAGGGTTATTTCACTTAGTATGAGGAATTTATTTACTTTGCTAGATGGGTGACTTCCATATTTATATATTCGTAACTACATTATTTATATAAAGTCACTTATGTAAAGATGTAACTCGATTCGATTAATTATTTCTTCTTTATTGGAAATACCTTAAAAAGGTTTCAAAGGACGGACTCAATGTCTATAAGCATTCTCCATTCATTCATTCAATACCAGTCAATTTGGAGCATGAGGATAAATTGTTGTAGGTGCAATAAATGTTATATTTAACATTTTAAATATGGTTATATAAACAACACCAAGACATTTATGACTCGTGAAAACTTCATAATTATATTCATCCATGCGCAAGTCTCCGTCAAATATCCTGTTGCGACAGACGAAAAGGGCAACACAAAGCGAAATATTTGTTTCGCCAATTTACATGGATATGAGATTACTCAGACTTACTTCGCACTCTAATACTTCTCATTCAAAATCGGCGTCGTTCACAATGGCGATCAATTTCCGAGCCGACGAGCAACCTTAGCGAGAGGCGACTTGCCCGTCACGCGCCGCGTCTTGTTAAAATCGAGTATTTAAATTTAAATTCGGCGGAGGCCCGCGCGTAGGTGGAGCGAAAATAAATATGAATATGAATGGGGAATCAGACAAGTGCTGCGGCAACGGATTTCGAATTATTAACTTTTCAAGTGCGCCACGGTACCGTCGGGAATACAGGCCCGCGTCGAATATGCACGAGCATGTCGAACCGGCTTCTCGGTATCTGAATGTAAGTCGCGTCAATTATGTTATCGTTATCGTTTCGTCGGTTGACGATATAATTGGATATACGTTAAAGCCGTTTATGTAACGATAAATACTTTAATTATTTACTTGTCTTAGTGTTATTTAAAGAATATAAAATTAAGTAAACAGCGAAGTAAAACTTTAACTATTGCAATTAAATGTACGTAGGTTTTCATAGCTTTATATTACAAATATTCTTATAAGCTCTCAAGACTAAAGATCAGAATACGATGTACAATAGTTATTGTTAGAGCAGTTTTTGATATCCCTAAAAGAAGTATGAAATTATTAAGTCCTTATTCCCTTATATTTTAATGCATGATGTTTTTGTTTAAATTTTAATATTCAGATAGATGCCAAAATTGATTTAATAAGTTTTATTTAATTTTATAGCTTACTGAGCTATAACTTTACTTTATTTGTCATATGTATATTTATGATTAATGTACATTAAAGAGATGCGTCCAAATTTCATTAATAATAAAACATAAGTACTTTATTTTGTAGGTATTATTATAGATATATGTGAACAAAATTTTTTGAATATGTTAATGTCAATGTAGCTATATTATCTGATATAATTTATAATTTTACAAAAGTATTGCCTTTAAAATGAACAAAACCAAGCTACGAAGCATTTCTGAATGCATCAATGCTCTGTAGACTTAAATCTTGTTGGACACATTTAGCTTATGGAAGCAGATTTATGTAACATTTTAAAATCTTATTAACTTGAAAATGACATAAGAACAACGCTGTTGGCAACACTGATATCCTGCTGACGCCCGACGATTACACGATGAACTATTCTGCTGTCTCTACAGCTGGCGCATGGCAGACATCTCGAAAGCGAGCGGATCGGCTAGCGGAGACAATTTTCCCGCAACGTATAATTTGGTGCCCGGGTAGGGGCCCATAGTTGACCGGGGCGCGCTGCGAATCTCAAGTGGACGACTGAGTAGATGCACCCGACGGAGAGCTCCGAAATTACACACGCCGAATTCTGGACAACTCATCATTTTGTATCCACGTGACGAACGCGATATAATCGACTCGGCATCGATTTTGTTCACCGCACTGTCTTTTTGTCTGTGTCTTTTTCTGTCACTAATAAAACGTGCTTCGAGCTGATCATCCACCTAACTATTGATGTTATTCCTCTTAATTTTAACGTTGAATAAGTATTTTTAAGTTATCATTTAATAAGAATATTCTTAACACGTTGTTTTTAGGGTTGTAATTGTAACGGAAAATCGCAAAAGCTTGTACGGTACAAACGATCGTTCATTAGGAAATAAAAAATGGAGGTATTTTTAACAACAGCTTTTACATAAATTAATTGCTAACCGCGTGTTCGATTCGAAACGAATTCATGGTTCGGCAAAGAGATACCTGTGCACCAAGAATGACAATTAAAAACAATCCGTCTCCCGAAACGGCGTCATTAAAAAAGCAAACGTTTCCTATGAATACTGAAAACTGTAAGACCCGAAGATCCTTTTATCATTTTTTAATTGTTACTCCTAACAAAGGAAAATCGACTGACATTGAATTCAATTTACATTCGCAAGGAATAATCGTTCCCAGTTCTATTCAAAACCAATGTTGTGGCTAGAGATAAAGTTTTTAACGATCTGCATTAATAAAGATCTTTTTTAAAATGGTACGGTATTTAAGCTTTATTCGATTGAAAAGTTTTAAAGCGGCAGCATTTTTTGTTTAGTTATTTGAGACTACAAATAACGTATTGCTTATGAAGATAGTTATAGGTAAAACAATTACAAGATTTGATACCAAACTTTAATTAAATAATGTACTTATTAGGTTAGATTGCATTTTTGTTCTTTATGAAAAAGCTGATATTCCGCTTCGTATCAATACTTATTTTTTTTTAATTGTTATATGGAAATTGGATTACTTTTTCAAATATTAAAGTATCGATACGAACGATAGCGCCGTTTGCAAAATTTTTATTCATAAGTAATAAAATAATATTCTTAGACAAATAATATTTCCTCCTAGAGATATTATTTGCTTTATAAACTTATTTTACCTCCTTCTGCAAATAATATTTTATTGTTAAAGCCTGTTAGGTATTCTTAATTCTCGAATGGTTCAATATTTTATAATCACTGCTTCATATGTCCGATATATGGGAACACACAATTACTTATCTGAGAACGTAAAATTCTAATTTAAAAACATACAATTTAGTTATTGAATTTGAACTGTATTGACGATAGTGTTGAATGACGTTACATTTCATTAACCTAACGTAACGTGTCATTTTCGCCATAGCATATGAAATACTTTATAAATCTCTAGGTCGATGCATGATCTATCAAAGATTTGATATATTCTGCCTTATGATGTTTTAATGACGTTATTAATTTTGAGCACCGATGTGAACCGAATGAAATTTGGTTTTAAGCTTTAACTTATTGATTGCAGACGTTCCTATCCATCAACCCCGTCGACGTGACTTGCAACAGCTGCACAATTTTCTATTCGTACGTTTAGTTAATTAAAGGCTTTCGGGTCCAGCGGCGGTTTTAATAAAGTCCAACAGTCCAGTGACTTACACCCCAAAATTGAAGCCCTACGTCGTACGAAATGCGCTAAAATATGTCTCTGTAAAAACTTATTACGTAAAATTAATTACAGCCATTTTCCGTGATTTTCCGTGTAATAAGTGAAAAAAGTCATCATCACATCTCACATTTTCGCTTAATATATTTAAAAAAAAATTGTTCAACTAAGATTTTATCGAAGAAATTTAATTTAATTTCTAACAATTGATTTTTTATAATTCTAACTTAATGAATCACTCATATAAATAGTAAAAGTATAAATTTATATTTCAATTTGCTTGCATTTTAAACCAAACCTGGAGAAAAAAGTAAAATTTATACATAACTGTAAAACAAAACACTGCTTATCAATAAATAATAATTGTTGCTCAATATCGGCATATCTAACGGTGTAAAACAAATGGGGGATGAAAAATCTTCTCCCGCGTACTCATTAAAACAAGCAACGGATTGATCGTGGAATGATTAAGAAACAATCCCTCGGCTGCGGTGGAAGTGTAGCCGTCAGTAGCAGGTGATAACTGGATCGAGTAATTAGAAACTGACGTGCCAGTTAATAACCGAGGCAAGTTTGACACTCGCACACGGCAGACGCTCCCAACTCCGAGCAAGTCATTAACTAAAGCAGTCTTTTAGTAGACGTACCCAAAATGTTGAGCACCTCTTTTGCATAAGCCTCATACCTAACGGGATGCTGTGAAATTTTAATACGTTTTTGAGTTTTCACCTAAGTAATGCAGCGCCGTATATTTTTTCGGTTCTCCCTTCCCCCTTATTTTATTTAAAGTTCGAAATGGATTAAATTTATAAAAAAATAACGATTAACGTTGATTTCATTCACTTTATCGTTTCGAACACTTATAGTACCCATAGTAACAGGACGGACTGTTTGTCATGTGAAATAGTTTTTTAGCTTTTAGCTGTTCCGTGCAATTTCAACCGCGAGAAAGTTTCTGCTTCGCCCCCTTAGGTTGAAGCGCGATGTTACATACACTCTAACCTTCCTCAAGAATTGAACCAAGTTCTTCCTATGTAATTTAATCTGTTTTTGATATTAGTTATAGTTATCAAAGTACTGTGTTTTATACGGCTTATGATTGAATCATTGAATGAGACACGATTCTCTTCAAATTTATAATATAACAATAACTTTGAGGTGACTTTATTATCCAATAATTTATTATGTATTTAGAGAAAAGATGATTTATAGTAAAGATATGTCGAGATGAATGTGATAAAATACTACTACCAATCCAGATCTATTTTTAATTAACGACCACTATATTTTTAAATTAGACGTCAATTTTCATATGAAAGCGAAACCGTTATAAATGGCGGCCATAACTCAACCCTCCTGAGTCCATACACCATCGTTTCAAACTTCACGTAGTGCTGAAACATTCAAACTTTGCAGACAAATTCGATCCGTGGACCGATTCGTCGAACATGTGTATTGTACACCTAGTCGTAACGAGATTCCTATCCAATTCCTTCAGAATTACGATCTCTACATAGTGATGTGCTGGATACTATAAACTGAAAATTCATTTTACTATATGCATTACTAATAATGGTGTCATACACCGAATACGAAGAGTAAAAAAGAGCAGCTTACATTTTAACTGTGGTAGGACCAAGCACCAGTCTTAAATAAGTCACAAACGGGCAGGTGTGGTAATTACCACGTAGCACCATGTATAGTAGAAGTATTATACTTTTGCGTTTCTTCTGGGGAGTGAGGTAGTCCGGGTCCACTTTATTAAAAGGCGGCAACGCATCTGCAACGCATCTGCAACCCTACGGGTGTTGCACATATCAATGGGCGGTGGTTGTCACTTAGCATCTGGTGAACCGCCAACTCGTTTGCCACCCTTACACATTTAAAAAAAAAACTAAAAACTCTGCCACGGCCGCCTTTTAATTGAATCGTATTAAGTTATGAACTCATGTTTAAAAGTAGGTAAACCTATTCACTTAAAAGAACACCACTCTTCAGAAAACGAATAATCAGTAACTAGAGAATTGAACCACAGAAATATACTATTTCACTTATTCTATAAAGACAATGTTACCTAAAAAGCAACAATGTCGCAATAAACATGGCCCGTCCTCACCCCTCACAATCCCTGAACACGCTCCGGTAACTTTAAGCGTCGCCCGAGATTTTATTCTTGTTAATTAAGAATAAGTAGTCGATGATAACGTGATTATCTCACCCTCGTTAATTGAAGATCGGTATTAAAACAATCGTCTAACAGCAAATTGCACCTGTATTTTGCCAGCGGCAGGTTTAAGACACAACGAAAAAAGCAAAAGGGATTAATCGTCCAATTCAATAAAGCTGCCCTCGGATAGTGGAAAAATGTACACTAAATTGCAGAGACTTTTTTGTTCGCTTTCAATTTCTTATTACTCGCAACAGCGCCGGCAATCCCGAAGGAACAATAAGTACGTCTTGGAGTATGTGATTTACTAAGAGAATTAAATTCTAATTGTACAATATTACTGAGCGTGTGGCTACATCAATGTTTTATATTTGAAGAACATTATTTAATTTTTGGCTTACGAGGCTGGATCAATTTTGTAACTCACTTAAATAGCTTTCTTGTATAATTGGTTAAAAAGTTTGTTGACTCTACAGACTTTTTAGTTAGACATTTAAAACGATCCGTAAGCAAAGTGAACATCAAAAAATTCTAATACGAATATGGTTTTATATAGTTTTTTTGCTAGCAAGTTTTATGTTTAATTTTTCAAGCATGCAATTGCATAGAATTTTTATAAAAATTCTTACCTTTGCGACAAACATTTTGTCACCTTAATATCCTTTCAAAAATGATAAATTGACTATATGTTCGTAAACGTGTTTCGTAGAAGCAGTAGAATTAGTATTGAATAGCGATGTGATTATTGCACCGACACTGAAGACTTGCGGTGATAGGCAAGAGGAGCAGTATTGATTCACTTTCACCATCGTTCTGGGTCAGATGCGCGCGGCTGCAGTAGGCCACTAGAGCAGCACTGCAGAATAGTCCATTCCGTGCTGCCTTTTGCACCAAACGTCCTCATTTTTTACATTAAAACAATTTTGTGGAATTTCAAGGCATAGTAAAATTTATATTAGCCCGAAATAACAGTGATCATTCCCTAGAAGTTTCACGGGACATAAATTTTCATTGAAACGTGTTTTTAAGTGGTCATTGTAATTGATCAATTGGTGTTGATGATACAGAGAAGAAATGATGGAGAATTGAAGCGAATCCAGCAGTGAAGATGAAGAACGTCGCCATATAAAGGACAGTAACTATATCTACTCTAAATTTCTTTTGTTGTCTCATTCAATGGATTTTGTTAAGGTGAAGTAACATTTCCAAACTCTTAGTTTATTCTCGGCTCTTTGAGACGGTAATACGAGTTCGAGGATGAAA